TGGCTGAGGCTGAAGTCTCCGGGGGAGGAGGAAAACCGGCTGGTACAGCCTGTCCCCCTGACACAAAAAAATTTAGGCTTTTCTTCTGTCTGCCCTGGCAGGGCAAGGAAGAAACAAACTGCAAACAGTAGCTTAAAATTAATTTATTTAACAAATATATCTTTAATATAAATGATAATAAAATTTCAAATATACGCTATAATATAAATGATAATAAAATTTCAAATATACAGTATATTACATAGTACACAGAGCCCCTTCCAAAGGAGCTGGTGGAGGAACAAACACACAGGTAACAGACAGTACTGTTACACAGGGACGGGAGAGGCTGCTCTACACATCTGCCTCTTGACCTCGCCTTGCAGAAAGTAAGAGAAACGTCCTGTCTTTCAGCCCTCTTTTTGCCCTTTCTGTTCCACAGTTCCTTCCCCCACGGCGGGGGGCTCTCCCCAGGCTGCCGGCCGGGCCCGGGGAAGCGGGGCAGGGCTGGCCCATCGCTGCGCCGTGCCCACGAGGAGCTGGGGCCATGCCTCAGGTTTCTCCCAGCTGGAGAGCAGAGCAGCTCCCAGGACTGCTGAGGAGAGCGGAACGGGGCTGGAGTGGGGAGCCAGCATCACAGGGGGAAGCAAGAGGCCGAGCAGAGCTGGACAGGAGAAGTCTCTGCCACGGGGCCCGTGGGGAAGTCCTCAGCAAGGAGCCAGACAGCAGGGAGGGAGTGCGTGCGGAGCCGGCGGGAGCGGAGAGCCGGCGGGCTGGGCTCGGTGGGTCTCAGCTCTATGTGAGGTGGTACATGCTGTATCCCACGTGTGCTGTGTACAGTCCCACGGGAGCCACGGGCAGCCCTGCCCGCTGGAAAGGGCTGGAGGCACCGTACAGAGAGGCGCCAGCCACAGCCGGGCCGCCCAGCGGGAAGGAGATGCCGAAAGCAGCGGGCGGGAGCATGGGCTTGGCTGCCATCTTCAGCTTCTCCAGCTCGGCCTCCTGGAGCCGCTTGGCCTTGGCACGGCGGTTCTGGAACCAGATTTTCACCTGGGTCTCGGTGAGGCTGAGCGAGCTGGAGAACTCTGCACGCTCGGCGATGGACAGGTATTGCTTCTGCCGAAACTTCCTCTCGAGGGCCAGCAGCTGGGCCGTGGTGAAGGGCGTCCGGGGCTTTCTGTTCGTCTTGTGCTTGCGCAGGGTGCAGGCCGGGGGGCTCAGCCGCCCTGCGGTGAGGAGCAGCCGGAGGAGAGAGGGGAAGGAGAGAGACACCTCAGTTAGCAGCACCCAAACCCGCTCGCCCCACGCAGCCCCCACCCTACAGCAGCTGGGGTGGAGAGAAAGAAAAATAAGGTCCCGCTCAAAATGAAGTGGCCCAAAAACTCCAGGGCTGCCCGGGGCACACTTCAAATTGATGTCTCCTGCTCCAGTAAAGAAAGCGGGTGCTTTACAAAGGAATCCGGCTTTTCAAGACTCCCGAGACCGAAGTTACCCACAGTGCTTCGTAGCAAGAACCTCTCCGACTCCATGGAAAAACTCGGCACAGGGCAGGAGTCCGACACCCACACCCCCTCCACCTCCTGCCTGCACGGCTCGTACGGAGGAGAGGTAAATGAAGGGAGTGACCCTCCAAAAAATGTGTCCTGTCCTTTTTATTGGATTAAGGAAAAAAATAAACAAAACAGGCTGGCTTCTCAGACTCACACCCTCTTCATTAGGCCCCTAGGAACCGGATTAAGCATGCAATTAATTACCAGCTCTGAATTCACACTCAGCCTCTATCTACCACTCTTCACCGGTCTGCCCTTCTCCTCTTATTTAAGATTTCTAAGGGTCCTCAACCTCGATCTGCCCCGGGTTTACTTAGCAACGACTTTTACTTTGCAATTTAAATAAATTAAACAACTGCGATGCTCTAGACAAGTCCTTTCGGGAAACCTGCCTTTCTCCAAGGGAGACAGAAAGCAGCTCTGTTCAGAGCACCCCAAAGGCTCCGCAGAGCCTCAGCCCAAGCTCTCCCCTTCCCACGGGAGCCCGGGCGGGGAGGGAGCAGGATCCGGCCGGGGGCCGGCGGCCCGGCCCCG